CGCTCCCTCGATTGCTATTTTAGTCTCTCCAATAATAAAAGAAAATGACCAAACTTCGCATTATTTAATAACAGAGCTCCGCTTCCATAAAAATGCGAGATGAAGCAGTTAGGAAATACCTTTAGGTTGAAATGAAGTACATGGTATTTTGCAGAACTAAACTTGTTCGGTGGATGTTCAGCATTTTCCAGCTTCGAAAATGGTCATTTATTTTCAAGCGAAGATTTGTGAAAATCATGCAACGTTTGACTTCAGAAAAACCTTATTTAAAATGAGGTATTTCATTCGATTGATCTTAAAACACTGAGTTCATTTCTATATTCAGCCGTAAAACATTATTAACATCACATATTGACGTTTTCAATTACTAGGCATGCAAAACCTCTGGAGATTGGGAAAAATTTCAACTTTGAGCTAAATGGCAATTTGAGGGCTAGATCTTATTGAGGTTTCCAATGATCTTCGGAAATGAACGTTATGCTGCAGGTTTCAAATCAGCTTAAGTTCCACCCGTAGATATACATAGTAAAAAGAAATCCCTCCAAGGCAGTCGAGTTTTTTGGGGGGCGAAACCAAAATAGCCAAAAAGGGACGTGGCTTGGAGCAGAGTACCTTTTTGCTTGGAGCACTGTAAAATTGTTGTCTAAATTTGGCTAATTTCCGAACTTCGGTAATAATTGTGAGTAATAATGAGTAAAAATATTTTTATTTTTCATTTTACAAACTCTCTCCCTCAGCCTCCTTCAAGACCGTGTCGCGGCAGCGCAGGTCCAGACTTTGGTTGGGGCCATCGTATTCCTGCACTAATCCAGTAAAACTAAGATGATGATGTGTTCCAAAAAGGAAATCCAATTGTCAGGACTAAGTGGCACATCCGGTCTATTGATAAGGGTTTGGGGTAATAAAGTATGCATTTGTTTAATGCTCCATATATTCTCGCAATTTGACGAATTGAAAGCTCCCCACACCTCTCAATCTATCTTCCCAGTATCAGTCTCAAATCTTTAGATGAGAAAAGATAGCGGGACCTAATATCACACTATGGATCACATAAAAGCCACATCTACCGCTTTTTAATAACTTAGATAAATGCAGCTCGCAGATTTTATGAAATCGCCCCATTTATTTGAATCATTTGTAGTTATATCCTTTGAAAAAAATATATTGAAGTGAAAAATCTTCATAAACAAATCACTGTTGTCCTTTCTCATGTACGTTAAAAGCCTGATTCGTGTTAACCTTCTATGCTCTCCTAACTTTGTTGAGGAACATTTTGTGACGGATTTAGGATAAAGCTATATGTACTAGCTGATCCTCTCTGATTATAGTCCAAAAGATGGTTTGTGGGCATTTTGGGTGTAATATTACCGGGAATATTCTTTTTTCTCTATGAACTTCTCTACTCACTATTGTACCTTGCCATCACTAGTATTACAGTTTTTACATGTTACGTGAATTGCAATGAGTTTGATGATCGACAAAAAAAAGTACAGACAGGTTCCTTAGAGTTCATTGGAAACATAGTGGGTCAAGAGCAGGAGTTATGGCGTTTCCAT